CATATGATCATCATCATACATAGGTGAACTAAGCCGTTCTTTGTCATCCGGTTCCCTCCCGAACAGGCACGGCTTCTAGCGTTCATCAATCCAATTTCAGGATTCGCCTCGCATTCAGCTTTCATTTGGAATGCTGGTTGGGCCTTTACAATACCCTTTGAAGCCAAAATGTACAAGTCAGGGTTGTTACTTTCCCAAACCAGCCTGCCATTTTCGATGAGGTGTGAGTGGATGTTGGTTGGTTTAGACAGGCATTGACCCGGAAACAGATCTCCCAAGCAGTTAACCTTCCCTATCTTGAGTGAATTGCTTCGCATAGTTTTGATAAGAAACGGAAGTGAGCGGAAAAGAAGTAACCACGTGGACGATGAGAAGATCAATTCCCACCCAGGTCAAGGAAGTAATAAAAATAAGATAGAACAGAAACACAAAATAGAAAAAATGCAATCAGTGGTTGAGTGAGAACTGAAATAACAGCAATAATATTTTGTAGTAATGTGTGGTAACAAGTAATAGTAAATAATAACACTTAATAATTTGTGATAATACATGATACTACATATTATAATGCACATTGGAAACTGAGTTTCAATGAAGCCTGGCATGTTTTCGGTTGTCGCAGACTTTGAATCATGTCCGAAATCTTCATTGGATTGTGGTAGAAGATGGTAAATCGACGGTGAATGCAATCGACCGACTTCTATACAGAAGTACCATACCCTACGTTTACCTCGCTACTACAACAGCGCCTGGAATGCCAAGTTGGTGTTGTTTTTTGTCGAAGCATTCGAAACTTTCAGACACTGGGTTTGTTTATTGAAACAGTCTCGATTTAAAAACTTAAAAGACATTCTGTGAACCTTTAATCCACTAATTCTGGATCTCACAAGCCTTGGTCCTTTTTATTTTTTGAATTGTTCCCCTATTTATCAGTTTATCTAGCCAAGCGTAGGTTCAAAAGGGCGAATTAAACGATCTGATCACTGCTAGAGGTTAACGTTCACTACAAATCGAATTCGCTTTTGATTACACCCAATTTGGGCGAAGGTGAAATGCGTAGAGTAACCCAATCGAATAAATCCCTAAAGGACGTCTGGTCGACAGCTTTTTGAATTACGTTTTTCAGGTCGCGGTTGGACGCATCGAAATTTGGCGTTACAGTATATCAGGGAAAATTACAGTCCACAAACGGATGCGGTACTGTATTTTGCCGACGACGATAACTCGTACGATGTTCGATTGTTTGACAAGTATATTCGAAAAGTAAAGCGATTGGGAATATGGCCAGTAGGTATGTTCTTTGTATTCCTCGACTGTTTCGGTTTTTTGAGTTCTTAATCATTAAGCGAATCAAGTTCCTCGTGAGAATAGCGAATTACTATTACTAGCTACTAAATTATTTCGTCGATTTTAATAAAACACTCACCCCAACCCCGTTTTGGGATGCGCCTAGCATCTGACTTCATTCGGAGTTATAATAGCGTTTCGAATGCGTATGTGGCCTACACAGTGAGTTGTGGTGGCCAGCCGATGTGCAAGTCAGTGCTTTTATCCTCCCAGACGAGTCCGGTACAACAAGCCGACCCCGAGAGACGGTAGGCCTGCTCAGCTTGGGCTAATATCGATCTGGGACTTGATTCGCTGGCAGNTTAACCTTTGAAACCATTTTTGGGTAATCCTCCGCGTTGGTGAAAAAGCCTGTTAAACCTTGCTCTCTGTCTGTGGCGCACAATAATTTCTGCTAAACAAAAACCACTACAATCTGTTACCGAATTCTCACAGATGTATCATGGACCAATATGCGTTTTGACAATTGCCCCTACAAAAACCCCCATTCATGACAGTTAATTTCATGGCGGAAATGTAGCCAATACAGACGATTTGTGCATGTCACCGTGAAGGGCAGTCATAGAAAACAATGCGACTGATCGAAAAAGGAACACTGTCAGGCTGAATAACGTAACTGGTTACCAACATAACTTGCCAGTTACACGCCAGAATGTAATAAGAAGCGAATCGTAGGGGATTGAAAAGACCCCATCTCCCAAACAACTGCCTTCTGAGAAGTCGTTCTCTGAAAGAATTGGGTTACTCCTATAACTGGTTCGAAAGAGCTGCTCCTTGGATGAAAAACTAGGGGGAAAGGGTCCTTCATCAGCGAAAGTGCAGAACCATGCCAAATTCGTCGATGGGCCCCGCATTCGACTTCCATTCAGAATCGCTGTGGCCTCATGAATGCGTATGTGGCTTATACCTGCGGTGCCCAGCCGATGTACAAGTCAGTGCTTTATCCTCCCAGACGAGTCTTGTACCAACCAACCGACCCTGGAAGGTTGGAAGTTGGTTGTTTGGCTTAGGCGGATATCGAGCCGGGTCTCGAACCCATGACCATGCGTTTGTGATAGTGCGTCACTTGCTCTAAAACCACCTTCACCTTTATTGTACATAACCTTTTATTTCTCTATCGATCGAAATTCGATTTTTTTGTTTCAATTATTTTGTAATTATTCAGTTGTTTATTTATTGGTTGACCATAATGAATGGTCGAGAGCATGAAGTTCAGTACTGGCTGGCTTAACTTTAATCACTATTAATGAAAAAGCGTTTCAAAATGGACTCCTAAGAAGGCTCCAGAACGCAGTAATAATAAGTCGCTAAGGTCTTTAGTCATGAGGCCGAGTTGATTTTCGACATCTTTCATTTCTATTCCAGGACTCGTGGGTGGAGCATGGGTAGAAGCACCGAAGGTGGGTGCTAATGGCAAAGTGGTGGCGTGGGATGTGATGTACGCTCCGCACCGAGAATTCGCCACCGACATGGCAGGATTTGCAGTTCACATCAAAGAATTGTTCCGGGTAGAAAAGTAAGATGCTCAAACTTTTTGGAGCATGAGAATCAAAGTACCTGCCAACCTATTTCAGTGCGACCTTCAGCAAGACCTGTGCAAAATCAGCCGGTTTCGGGCCAGAATCGTGCTTTTTGACGCAGTTCGGCTTCAAGAAACAAGACGCCGAACCTTTTGGACATAACGACACACCAAAAGACATACTTGTGTGGCATACAAAAACATCAGCCTCAAAAGTTTCTGGTCCTATGAGGGGATTCGTCCTCGAATAGTTCATACGTGGTATTTTCTCTGCCTCAGTGTTTGAACCGATCTCTTCTTACCCATCCGAGAGTCAGCTGTTGTTCGGCCCTCGCTGATGTGTCTTTGCTAGTCATGTTGCCATTGTTTTCTTCCAAATTTAAACGTGCCTTACCAGAGTGTTGAAGAGTTATTAATAAATATTTACCGATTACTCATTAACACCATTCACCAGTCACTACTGGTAATCGTTCTCGACTGTTACAGCTCCAATGGACCGAATTATAACGGGGACACACTAGAAACAAATGAGAGTCTTAACAATGATTTATTTCTTTTGTGACGAGTTGCTGAGCTCAGGCGAAGAACTTGCGCATTCGTTCGATACCAGCTTTCTGTCCGCTTTCCCACTCCAGAAGTCTATCGAATGCTATTTTCTGTAAATAAAAAATCGCAGAATCAATGAGAAATTATTAGGGTTGGGAATGGAAAGAAACAGCGAACAGCCGATGCCAACAACGGTGTTAGCTCCCATCCCATCCCTAGAATCAATGGTGAGTGGACCTTATCTAAGCCTAAGTCAGGCCTATAGTTGCTGATCCTAGATTGGGTCGTTCATTGGAATTGAAGGCCCNGGGGGGGGGGCAGGTCAGCAAGGCTGTCATAACTTCCTGATCGAACTTCGTGGTGTTTCTAGAGATATGGGTCATCACAACGTTATAAATACTCCTGAAAACAATGCCATCTTCGCCATCTGTTTCAGATGCAGGTAACAGACGATTGAAATGAACACAGCACGGCTGAGTTTTAGAACTTAGGGGTCTGAAAACTGCAAAACTCCTGTCTCATATTGGCAATTAGCCTCCAGTGCTTCAAAAGCCTCTTAACAACAGTACTACGAAAACTTCAATTTCCAAAGGATGTCAGGGTCATAACGGTAATCGAAATTGTTGTCTCAACTACGGGAAAATATTCATTGTTGCAACTTTGGCCAACACTAACCGTCTTATTCCTGCCAACGTAAGAAATCATTTGTGAAGCGACGTTACGCATAGCGGCCGGAAGACAGACAGTGTAGTTGCCTTTAAGGTCCTTACAGGTGCGATCGATCACTTCTTGCACCTGGAAATACAGAAGTTTCGAGGCCAGAAAGTAGAAGTAAGGGGAGACATGTGACTGATGATTGTACAGATGGTAAAGGAATGAGGAGCTACTAGTGGTATTGTACAGTACGCATCGACACCGCTAATTCTTTCCTCCACTTTCATTTGAGGGAAAGAAAAAGTTATTTATACAGCGGTAGTTGGAAAATTCCTACAGCCCAGGAGTTCGAATTCACAGTACTCGTTGGCAAAAGGGTCTGGGTAGACGTAGGTAAACCTTTTATCAGAGGGACCGTCCACAATTGCCGTCAAGATTTGCACAATCACAGTTCATGAGTGATTCAGACCGTAAAGTAAGTCGTGAAGGGGTTTTAGGGGAGTTTTTTTCGGTAGAACCCAATGTAATACCAATATTCTTCGCATCCGATAGGGTATCGCCAATCGATTATTGATCTTCATTTCAAAAGGGTTCACCGGATGAGGTGACGAAGGAGATCCGTTGAAGAGCGAAAGATTCTTAGAAAGTTATCTCGCGACGCGTCACACCCTCTTCCATCCTCTTCAACATTTGTCATTCCCGACTGGGGCCCCAAACTGTTTCTATTGAGGAAAACTTCAATCCCTTTCTGGGGACTAACACAGAACAACTGAATGAGAATTCTCAATCAAAACAAGCAGTGAAGGAATATAGGAGTTGAATGACGGAAAAGAGCTCAATACAAAACAAGTAAACAACCTGAATCATGATGTCGCCGAGGACGGGACTGAGCTCCTCATCGGTACGGTTTAGAACCATCCACGTGAAATTTTGCACGTTTTGCATTTCGTCGAAAATTTTCTGAGTAGCCTGCTTGACCTGAAGTATTGGTACGTTTAGAACCACCTATATATGTAATGTTGTTTGGGAGTTCGTGAGATGGAAGCAGTAATTCTACTCTATTTCAAGTAGTGACCTTACGCCACATTGAAGGAACGAAGTCATTCTATAAGCCATATACACATTCAAAACAGCTCTACAATTCTCAATAAAAATGGAATGCGGGGCACATCCCACAGACGAGTTTAATTACCGCCACAATTTTTACTCTTTTTTCCTTTTGTATTGAAAAAATTCAATAGTAACCGGTTGATTGACTTGACAAATAGGTTTTAACCAACCAGTCCTCAGAAAGATAGAAAGCAAAGGATGACTGCCCCTCTTGCTACCCATAGAGAGACGTGGAGCCACTGTCAATGCCAATGGATTGGGTGCGAAAGGAAGGTCTAAAAGGGCGCTCGAAGCAGCCCAACTATCTTTATAGAGGGACCTCTTCAGCACGTTTTTCGAAGCACTTAACGATTAAAACTTTACCTTGACATTACTCATGGATGCGGTATATGCTTTCAAGCGATTTTTCTGCTCTTCGCTTCCAGCTGTACTGTTGTCGAGGATTTTCAAAATCTGAATCAGATTTTCTTCTGAAAAAACCTATGGTGGATTTATAAACTCTGCAGACCTCTTTGATTTTTACACCGTAGATTCCAGTACGATTCAATTTGTCTGACACTATCTGACTCCCAATCGGTGGAGGCTGAAAAGCATGTTCAGTAGGGGGAAGGAAAGGAGTTGCACAAACCCGAAGCTCTTACCTGTAAATCAGCATCAGTCCAAGAATTGGAAGTGATTTGAAAAAAGAACAGTAGTAGTAGTAACATACTGTTATGCGGTACTAGAGTATGGGTAACTGTTCCGATTACCCAGAGATTATCGTTTTATTCGTCATTAATCCCCACACTAAATACCAGTGAGGAGACCAAAACACGAGTGATGCATGGGATCGGGGGGACCAAAAGAAATTGGTGAAAAATGTGAAATCTTCTGCGACTTCTACTAGAATTTTTTTGATTTCAGTCAAATTCCAATCAACTATACCATGTAAACTTCAAGAAGCGTTTGATCTTTATTTGATTGAAGAATTTATTGATTGAATTTCGCTAATCGATCAGTTTCTCGTTGTTTTAGCATATTCATAGCTCCGTTATGGTTCATAAGCCATGTTATTTATGGGCTCCCACAATATCCATATTTCAGAGAGAAGAGCTCAACATATTGCATCTTGAAAGATATTGATGTTTATTTGTTTATAATTTTGTATTAAAGATATAGGTATTTCTTTAAATATGTGTTTATACTTATACACTGACTTGTAGATCGGGTGGCCATCACCGCAAATCATGGTTAGGCTACATACAAGCATTCCAACGCTACTACGGTTTCGAACGGAAATTGAATACCGGGCGCATCCAGGAACGCGACTGACACTCCTTTTTTATACCACATCAAATTGTATTTCTCAGCAGTGTTACTTCATTGTTTACATGTTTTGTAATCATTCTCTCCTATTTACCTAGAGCCTTTGTGTACTCCCTTCTTCGAGATTGGTCTCCAACTTCTCCGAGGACTCTTTCTTGGTCTATGACACTTTTTTTGTAATGTCACGTGTTTAAACAGTTACATAGTAAACAGCATGTTTATTGTATATTTGTTCTTGTTTATTTCAATATATTATTGCACGGTAATGAGGTGTATACTTTTTCTTCGAGTCAAGCGGAGTGCGTTGTTGTGAATCTACTTGAGTCAAGCGATAGGCACGCATTATGTTAGGCCTTTCCTGACGGTCCAATTCGTTGAGACGACGCACAGACACTCCTTTTTTATATCATATCAAATTGTATTTCTCATCAGTGTCACTTCATTGTTTACATGTTTTGTAATCATTCCATCCTATTTACCTAGAGCCTTTGTGTCCTCCCTTCTTCGAGGTTGGTCTCCAATTTCTCCAAGGACTCTTTCCTGGTCTATGCCACTTTTTTTTGTAATTCCACTTGTTTAAACAGTTACATAGTAAACAGCATGTTTATTGTATATTTGTTCTTGTTTATTTCAATATATTATTGCACGGTAATGAGGTGTATACTTTTTCTTCGAGTCAAGCGGAGTGCGTTGTTGTGAATCTACTTGAGTCAAGCGATAGGCACGCATTATGTTAGGCCTTTCCTGACGGTCCAATTCGTTGAGACGACGCTGAAAATGGCATATACATAGCCCATTCGAAACAAAGTTAATTACCAGTAAATGAACTGTAAAACCACAGTCGTCACTCTAGTCATTTGTTTGAATTATCAAAGTTACTGCGAAGAGCGTGCAAGGAGTGGATGCTAGATGTACTTTAACTGTTTACAGTCGTTGTTGTTATTGTTGATATTGTTATTATTGTTGTTGTGATGTAAAGGAGGCGTTCTATTTGGTTTTCGCTTGCGAACCCATCAAAAATACTAACAGGATTTGCTTACCAACAAAAAAAGTATGCAACTTACCAGTAGTTCGCCTAGCTCGTTTCTGTTCAGCCATTTGGCAGCCTCTTTCAATACAGCGCCTTTGAGAGCTTGATGAACTTTCGAGAAGTCACCCTTATATGTGGCTGAGTCTCTCTGGTACCCACTTCTCTGTAAATGTGTTTATTACTCAAAGTATTCTGATTATTGATCTATACCACTTACTATATTGTAGAGAAGATTAAATCCTGCAGAGGCTGGTAAGTTGAAAGCGTTGATCATACGACCCAATTGCGTCTGAAATCTTTGCGATCGGAAGCCAGTAATTGCAGACCATCTGTGAAGTTAGGTACAAAACAAGTAGATTTCAGTGGAATCCCGATGCCGAAGAGATACTCCACTCCTAAGCTTCTGGCAATGGTCGGTAGAGCATGGAACGTACGTAGAAACTTGGACGGAACCTAATTCGGACCTCCCTAGTACGGGAACCTACTTTTTTAATCCACTTCATTACTAAAATTACATGCGATCTCCTTCAGCCTCCTCCCGCCCCAACAGAATAAGCTGCAGCCACGTTCCCTCATATAACCTTTTGTAAACGCCTCAAACTTTCGTGAAGAAGCCTGACAGAGCAACCGATCGATCGATCGATCGANCGAGCGAGCGAGCGAGCGACGAGGGCGGCGCTTGCCCCTTGTTTACAACTGAATTTTGGTCGATACCGCCGGACGAGTAGTATCCCGTCGCTCGCTCGCTCGCTCTCGGGCCAATTCGCAAACTATGAAAGCAGCTATTAACGTCTCTTAGGAGTCCAGTCAGTGATGCCCTAGCCCAACACTCATCCCCTTACCATATGACAGAGTTTCCGCTGAGCGTACTGGAACTTTCATCATCGAAACTGGAAGGTCTTGACGCGACTGACCGAGAACTATTCTATTAGCTCGAGCGTTCTGAGAGTGAAGGCACATGGAAACCCATGCATTTAGCATTTAAGTGAGCCTAATAACCTAAGATTTGTCGGCTCTCATATTTCAAATAGTTTCTGAATGAATGATCTGGTCTCTCAACTAGGTTTGCGTCTCCTGCCACACAACGATGAAAGTAAGTTTTAAAAAAAGTTTACCTGGAAGGTGATTATCCATCTGAAGATACGATTCACGCGAGCTAGGCCGTAGTCTAATCTGGGGAATCGGTATCTGTACGACTTCCTCACAGCAAGACGAAACTAAACGAACATTCAAGAGAAACTCTCATTGATTTGACCTATCTTAAAGATAGCTATCAAGAGTAAAATACAAGAAATTTCAATAAGTGCGCCTCATCTTTGCTCGTGAGTCGAAAAAAAATCTGTCTATAATGGGCCTTTTTCTGTCCTATATTCCAATGATCGAAAGCAGGCTCCCTTTTCTTGTAGAAGAATCAAAAAATATGAAAGCGCAGTTTTAGGTTCTTTAAACGAAAAAAGCTAGAAATCGAACAATTGAAACTGAAATATCAAGGATTCCTGCAGAAATATTACTCGGTATTTCAATAATTAACTAGATCTGAGGGGAAAAAGTCATAAATTTTTTGCTTGGTTGGTCACTAAAACATTAGACCTCCTAGAGTCACGAGCTCTGAAAAACAGGCAGTTACCTCGTTTTCAGCTTGGTCGATCTCCTGCACAGTTTTCGCTCTGTCGACCTTGGTTATAAGCTGAAAATCGGAAGAATTAAGTCCGTCTCCAGTAACAAAAAGAAGTAAAACAGAATCAGGTTTATCATGGTTTTATGTAGATAGCGTAGCACCAGTATTCAAAAGTTTTGGTCCAAAGTCGGATTCCAGCCAATATTTGCCTGCGCTAACAAAAGCCTACATCCCTAGTAGTTCGGCGAATTGGTATCAGACTGAACTGGAGGGGTAAGAACACTGATTTGTAGGCCAAGTATGCATTAACACGCAGCTACAATTTCGAGTAAAAGTTGGATGCGGTTCGCATCCAAAAATGGGGCTGAATGAAGCAAAAGACTTTTTCTTTCATGTAGTGTTTCCACGTTCATAGAGTAAAAGCTCCACGTATAATGTTAACGGCATCAGGTTATCCTAGAATATTTTCAGAAACTATAAATTATCATTATTATCATCAAAACCAACCTTCCCCCCTCCCCAAAAAAAATTATTCTCTAACTTGGTTTTGCCTCGATTTCTAGGCTTTAGGAGTACAATGATAGCCCAAAAGAATTTCCTGAACAGATTTAGACGGTGAGCACTTTCAAACAATAATTAGGTAAGGGAATTACTTTGAGCAAAATTTGTTTTTTATTTCAACGAAACTGGTGGCTGTCTTGGTTTACCTGATTCAATTCTTTTTGAGGAATCGCCCGTTCCGGAATTCCTTCTCTGCGTAGTTCTCTTATGTATACTTTTGGATTAATGTAACCATAGCTTAATCCCACGAGTAGCAGTAGAATCCATAGTATCGAATTGTTCATGAAGATGTTAACTTAAGTGTTGCTACCCTGGAAACGATACGGTAAAGTTGCCTTCACATAAGTGCACCGTCTGAGAAAAATTGTCCTATCAAGTAAAGCAAATAGTGGGCAAAGCTCCCAGGTACGTCCTCAGAGAACTTGGGTTTGCTTTGAAAGAAATTTCAGACGTCAATTTCAGGAAGGTTATGACAGGTTCAAGAAAAGGAGCTGATAAGCCTCTACTCCGAAACGCAAAAAGGAACCAGTAACTAGATGTGGTCACGTTTATATAGGCTGACTGACCGATGACCAAAGTCGTTACTCTGATAATGGCTGCGCGAGTTAATCCAGGAATTGCTGATGTCAAGCAGGACGTGTTCTGATCATCTCCGACTTAGCCAACTCACTTTTTTCATTAGGAACGAAGAAATCAAGCTTTCCGTCTTACAACATCCTGATGATTATGGCTGTAGGTTGATGTAGTAATGGGATCGTGGGCGATGAGGTGCTCGGGAAGCTCTCAAGCAGTCACTTCCTTATTTCACTGTCTCAACGATGGGACTCAAACGGATAAGTACCCTATTGATAGTTACCTCACTCCGCCTTGGGCTTAACAGCAACATTAAGCTGAAAAGTTTAATTCGAGTATATAATCGACTGCCTATATTCATTCGTTAATTGTCAGCTTATATTAAAAGGAAAAAATTTTGTGTACAAATTTCGTCTGTGGATGAGCCATGCATTGAAATACCATTCAGATTCGTAGAGGCTTTTGAATGCTCATTTGCATGTGCAATCACTTGCGATGGTCGACTGATTGACAGGTCAGCGGTTTCACCCTCCTAGACGCGTCTGGTACCAATAAACCCACTTCTGATGGATGGAGGGCTTAAACAGTCAGGGCGGATATCGATCCGAGATTCGAAACGATTTTTTTAGTTACAAGCCTTTGACGCTATGTGATTGATATTCATATGTGTGAAAAGATTGCTATTAGCCAATTGGACTGACAAGTCACGGGTGTCCATTTTCCTTTCTACGCTGTGATACTAACGTCATGATCGGAGAAAGCCGTCAAGTTTTGACTGACCTCAAAGAACAGGTTTTCTGCGAACGAAGAAAGGGGTGGGTCATCTGGCCTGCAAAGGGCGGCAATGTATGAAGTTTCAGCAGCAAAATATGAAAAGATCCGAAAATGCTTACTAAAACAACCTTATACCGAAGAAGTATATGCCAAAGAAATGTCTAGTCTCAGTAGACCGAAGGAGCTTGTGGGACAGCTTCAAATCATCTATGAAAATGTGACCTTCAACTTGCCTCTGTGCCTTGGCGAAAGTGAACGGAAACTTACCCTTCTAGGTAGAAAAGTGGAAGTGTTGTTGTAGAGTAGTACATCGGTGGCGAAGAAAGCGAGAAAACCCTACTTCAAGGCTTTTTAAAAGTATTGGAAGTGGAGGTTGTACGGGATCACCGTGACAGTAATGGCGGACGAGATTCAACTTGCTCCCATTGCTCAAAGGGATGACATATCAAGCCGAAATTTTCCGAAAATGCCTTTCACTGTCGCCATGGGTTGTGACAAGTTTTTTGAACTTTATACATGGGAGTCTCTTGAGATAGCGCAGCCTCTACAGAGCCGTTGAAACTTGTCCACGAAGGGTGTGGCATTCGCACGATTTAATTTGCTCCCTTGTTGTGCTCTATCCTTGACGTTTTTCGACTTTATAACAGCAGGCATGGTATAAGGGAAAGCCTCGGATTCATACTATAGGGACTACTACTTTTTATCCTGAACTGTGCCAATGACTGTGAAGGAACAAAGCATTTCTATAAGGAACCTTCTCACTAGACGTCTGGGAGTCCAATGATGCACGAACCTCAATCAACCTGGAAAGAACCCTATGATAGATCCAGCAACGTGTTCGGGTAGTTTCTTCCCCCAGGTGCAAGTAGGACGAGGCAGCTAGCAAATATTTGCCACACACTGTCACTGGGCTAATTGGTGCCTTACATTATCCGTCTGCGCCGTCTTTGTTTTACCAACTTGTACCGGAGCGCAGAGTGCTAATTACTGGCAAGATTTGTCAATTATCGATCGATATCGATCAATTGAAAGACTTTACCACGGTGAGTGAGAAATGTTTAAAAATAGTTCTACTTTTGAATAAGCACGGTCTGGGATGGTCATTTTTAAATCCCTTCAGACCAACGGTACGATTGGTCATGATATACCGTACTCATTGATATGGTTACCTGTCCAATACTGCTATCCCAAATATGTTTTTCTTTTGAAAACTTCAGGTGTAAAATTGTTCTGACAGCCATAATGGGCAAATGTCTTCAGTGGAACCATAACTGCCCAGGTTTTCTAGCGCTACAGTGTGGCAGGTTCACTTGAATCTCAAGAGGCACCAACGATTTCTTCAGGAGTTCTTGTTTTCTCATGAAGAAATAGCGGTGAGGTCGTCGTTCCGAAACTGAGGTGAACCGGTTAGTTTCCTTTAGAGTACTTGCCAGAGCACTTCGTCTCGCCTATACGGCCTCCTATCAGGTTGCTACTACGAATATAATCGTAAACCTCCTCGGTTGCGTATTAACTTCCTTCATTCAGTTTTTTTTCTTTTCATTTTCTCCTCCTTTCATCTAGGTACTTAGCTATTAAGTCCCAAAACCAGACATAAGGGCCATTGCTCAGGAGTATGCGAGAAGTGACTAGTAATAATTCTATACGGTTACTCATAACGTATACTCTCTNCTTTTCATTTTCTCCTCCTTTCATCTAGGTACTTAGCTATTAAGTCCCAAAACCAGACATTAGGGCCATATTTGCTCAGGAGTATGCGAGAAGTGACTAGTAATAATTCTATACGGTTACTCATAACGTATACTCTCTAAGGCCTTCTGTTAATGAACCAATCAGGTCTGGGACATCACTCCTGCATTCAACTTCCATTCAGAATTGCGAGTAGCATGCGGGACTCGATCTCCGAACCATGCGTGTTTGCTATTTGCCCACTTGCCACTGGACCACTCCAAACATGTGTGGTACAGAACTGAAAATTTTCCAAACTTTGCAGCATTTGACATCTCGAGCCCATCTGGCAGCTGTCCGATGATTATGATTCTTGAATCGTATAATAGGTGTAAAAGAGAAGTCAACGACCCCATTGATACACCCAAATTTTCCAATTACGCAGAATTCAAGTTACCCATTTGAAGGTTTGCAATGTTTGGAATATCTGCTCTCACACGCCACCGAGTTCAAGTCCCTTCAGCAAAATTTTCAAGTCGGTGAGGATCCTGAATAACAACTTGATCAAATGATTCCCTAAATGGATTATAGTCAGTGCGTAGTGACTGTGATACGCGCAGATTAATACTGTTGTCAATATTTGCCGCCGTCGATATATGGCAATCCTTCTCCGTTCGACAAAGAAGGGTTTCAAACTCTCGGAAGCCGTAATAAGACGCAGACATACAGTACCGTGACGGATAATCTTGATGCCAGGAAGAATGCGTGGCGCGAATTCGTCTCGACGCCAAGTTTGTTCACACATCCGAGCACTGTTATGATAGTTCTTAGTTTTGTTCTGAAACTAGCTAGAAGGGACCTCGAAAATGGACGCTCACGTAAAGCGAGGAAATCATCAAAAGCTGAGGAAACAAGAAAATTTCTAGCAAAAGTCTTGAGAGGGCACGAGGTGATGCAGAGGAAATTTCAAAAAGCATTAAGTAAGTAAGACGGTGGAAGCGAGTAGTATCATAAGCCTTCGTTCATACTTCGAAAGACTGTTTGACACGTCCATCAAAGGGCGTTTCCGGCAGCAACAGTAGTGTATGGTCTGAACTCTTCAAGCTTCCCTCTCGCTCATTCGCACCAGACGTACAGTGGGCTCTTTTCAAAGGAAACGCCACCTATAATCCATTCGGAGTTGAAGAATCTTCCCAAACTGCAAAAGCAGTCTCATCCCCATTGCATATTCAAAATTTTATGCAGAGTGTTCCTGTCAACATCAACTCATTGATTATGAGAGGCTCTCTATGAGATTGTTTTTTNNTGCATTTGTTCACCATGAAGTTCAAGCGAAACCGTTTCCGGTCCTTTTGGTAAATTTGAAGGGCTTGTCGAAGTTTTCAACAGCATAAAGGGAAAAACAAAAAACTTTGGTCTAACTAGTCTTGTTTTTGGAAAATAGCGAAATCCCCTGGCAGCGTTAATACATATCTTCTATTAGAGGCGGTCCTTCCTGTGCGTGGACGGCCTTTCTTTCTCTTGAAAAACTTTGCTCCAACAATACTACTCGCCTTTTTTGCCATAATGCTGTTAAACATAGTTCCCATGTCACCTATATATTCCCTTAGAAATTGTTTTCAAAACCAATTTACCTTTTTTTTACTATACTCAAGTTGAGTTCAGGTCGATCAATGTTCAAATTTTCCCACAGGAACTTTTGGTTTACTAAAGCCTCTCACAAAAAGTTGTGTCAAGTTTCCATGGCAGCATATCGAACCACCGTGTCTATCGCTAACACCTTTAACTTTCCAACCCTGTCTTCTTGCAACGAATGTTTGTCTCGAGTGACTGACTGTAACGACTGGTAGTTTACTGGTAACGGTGTGGTGTGTGTTTGTTGGTGCAGGTGAAGGAACATCTCCTGGGATGCCATTGTTCACCTTCTCATTCGGTCTCACTTTGTCGTTGCACATCACATAATACTTCATCCCCTCAATGTCTCTTAGGGTGTGGAGCTACTGTGACAACAGCAGAATGCCCATTTCCATCCTCCAACTCATTGAAATCTCATTAATAAACCGGTTTCACTGTTTTCGTTTTACTTACTCATTTAATTACTTACACAAAGAGGGGCTACGAAAGCTTGTAAAAACTTAATGTGGTCTCGTTTTGTCCTTCGTCGGACATTTTTCTGATTGCCAACAACTTTTTCGTTTAAGGAACATTGAACGTTATTTGCAGAAACCGAATGGCCTTAAATATTATGTACTGTGCACTTTACAAAAGGTATAAGTAAGTGACCACCTAACCTTCAGACTTGACGGCTAGACTCCTTGTTTATCACTGATTTACATTGCACCTTTTTGTCAATATAAATGAACCAAGTGGCGTTCGTTTCCTTCAAACCCTTTTTCTGGTATTTGCAAATAAATTGAAAAAAACAAAAAAACCAAATTGGGTTTAAAGGATCCAGGTAAAGTTGCTTTGCTAAGTCCACATTGGGACTGATTACCAGACTTCAGAAGCTTCACAGAAAGTCCTGACCGGTCAACAACAAAATTTGATACTTTCCTCGGCCTCTAGTTTTGTTCTCCCAAAAAAAAACATTTTTCATGTATAGGTATTGACAACAGGTGAACAGCTCCTTAGATCACTAGGTACTGTAGGAAATGGGGAACTGGAAGGAACCGGTGTCTGACCTCTTCACATGTGGAGGCCGTCATTGCTTAGTGGTAATGCTTAGTAGTAGTGGCCTTAGTGATGGCGTTGTCGTTTCTCGTCAATTCAGTAGTTGAGCTAAAGGACAGATTTTGTTTTAGAAAATCTTTTAATAGCAACCAAACATCAAATTTCAGCCAGTTGCCGGTAAGGGCCGATATTAGCGTGGCT